CAACAACGGTAACAATAAACAACAAACAAGCAACAACGGTAACAAATAACAACAACAGCAACAACGGTAACAATAACAACAACAGCAACAACGGTAGCAATAACAACAGAAACAACGGTAACAGTAGCAACAACAATAACAAAATGTATAATAAAAAAATTTTCGAGTAATCCAACAAATAAAATATAATGGAATACTTATGTACGAGTAACGAATTTGAAGTATAACACATAAAGGTCTTAAGCTTGCTCTATGATCTGTTTTATCGTTGTCATGCAAAAAAAAAAAAAATTTCGCTCCAAAAAATATACCAATGTTTTTTTTTCTTTTTTATTGATTAAACAACAACAAATTGTTCTTTTTATAGTGAAATTTTTGATTAATTAAATATAATTTATATTAAATCTTTTAATTTAAACGAATTACTTTATTTGGAATGAATTTTTTCTTTAAATGATATCTTTAATTTATTAATTGTACATATATATATGATAAGCGATAAGATTTAAAATACAAAAAAAAAAAGTTGAAATGAAATTAACGAATATCATGACAGTGTTAGTGAACTATTTTCCTTTTTTTTTCATTTATATCAAAAACAAGAATTAAAGTGAAAATGGAAAGGCGAAAAAAAGAAAAAAAAAAAACAAATTTCGTCAAGGACTTTTCACTTCCTTCAACAAAACTCAATAACCAATACCGGATGATATATGCATATATATATACATATATATATATAATTATCGGTTCCGTTCCGTTCCGTTTAGGAGACTTTTTCATTTTTCCTTTTTCTTTTCCCTCTTTTCCTTTTTTTTTTTCGTATTTCTCTGTTTCGTCGGATTATTTCGTACTATTATTTCATCGTTATTACCTTTTCCTAACAAGGAACAAATAATTTTCTCAATTTTTCCTTTCTCTTTTCTCTTTCTTCTTTTTCTTTTGATGTTAAAATCCGTTAGAAATACAAACAGCTGATTGAACAAGTTAAAATTGTAAAATTAGATATCTGAAAAGAAACGCAAACTATTGATTAAATGAAAAGAAATCGAAAAATTAAAATATTTAAAAGAAATGCAAACAAATTGGTTGAATAAGTTGAGATCGAAAAATTAAAATATCCTGAGAGAAAGGCGAACAAATTGATTGAATAATGAAATCGAAAAATTAAATATCTGAAAACAAACTAAGCTATTGATCAAATAAATTGAAACCAAAAAATTAAAATATTTAAAAAGAAAGGAGAACAATTGACTGAATAAATTGAAATCAAAAAATAATGTATTTTATGAAGAAAGACAAGCACTGATTAATTAAATTAAAACGGGGGAATAAAATATCTTAAATGAAATACAAATAATTATCTGATTCCGTTTAGGAGACCATATGTTTTAATATATTAATTGGATTGAATAAATTTAAATTCGAAAAAATAATATATTTTCGAAAAAACAATTAATTAATAATTCGATATCGATTGAATATATAGAAATGAACTCAACAAATCTATTTCTAAAACTTAGAATTTAACTTTAGATAGGTCTAACTTCTAAACACTTTATAGTAGTATGGTTATATTAGCTTTGTTTCGTTACGGATTGCATTTTTCATTTCCATTTATCCGGCTTCATCATTTAAATCCGATGGATATATTTTGCTACCGGAAAATTTATGCACGTTATCATAAACGTATTGATATTAATTAAGCAATTCGAATTAACAATCCAATGGAATTACCAATTGGTAATTAATTTTCTACGATTTGTAATCATTCCCAAAGACATCTTATCATAACTATTATAATTATCCAACAATATTTTAGATATAACTTTAGGACAAATTTTTGTTAATAATTCATTGAAATTGGCACATATCATTATTGTTATATTATTAATCCTTCACTAAATTATTAAAAATTCAGACCATTAAATATTTATATTACTATTATTGTTTTTTTTTTTTTTAAATAATCTTTTTTCCACTTTGACCGATATTTCCTTTATCATACAATAATAACGGTGCAAAAATATTTAATGAATAATAGTATTACTGAATAATAGAAAATGAATAGTAGTGTTACGAATAATAGAAAATGAATAATAGTATTACTATAAATCATAAATTTTTTTTAATTGCATAAAAATATAGTAAATGGTATAAATTCTGGAATGATAAATTCATAATGAAATATTCATGTTGATTTTTTTTAGTTTTTTTCCTTTATTTTTGTTTTTTTGGAAGATAAAAATTAAAAAACAATTTTTTTTTAGTAAATAATTTATAAATTAAATAAAAAAAGGAATGAAAAACTTTAAACATATATTTTTTCGCTTAAATAAGCGTAATTTATATTAATTAAGTAAATTCGCATGAAAAATTAAAAGCTTAATATTTTATTAATATAGAAATTTTATTTGATCAATGCTATCAATATAATTAATTTGAATTAAAGTCTGAAAAACGAAAAGTGACAAAAAATGAAATGCGTTGGAAAACAATAATGTAAATTGAAAATTTTCGCCTCTTTTTAAAACATATTTTAATAAATGTAAATTTTACAGACATGTATTAATATGCTAATATTAATCGCATGACAAGAAATTAGATTAAAATTCAATATTTCACATAGTTTAATATTAAATTTTGTAACAAAAAAATAATGAAATATTGCAAAATGCAAAAATGTATTTTATATGAGAATATGTTTGAAGAAGAAAAAGTTTAAAATAATTCATAAAATTAGAAAGTTATAAATAAAGAAACAATTTCTATTGCAAAAAATATGAAACTGAAATAAAAATGATCAAATTTTTCCGATCTTTGATCATTATTTTGAATTTATTCTTATGAAAGTAAAATAAGTTTTTTATTTTTAATTTTTTAATACGTTTCCTTATTCTTCCTCTTTTATTTCTTCCTAAAAAAATAAGTTTTTTATTTAATTTTGAAAAAATAAAATTATCAAGATTAGTACTGACATTCAAAAAAAAAGCATTATTTTATTAAATATTTTTATATAAAAAGGATTATTTTATTATATATTTTTATATTCAAAGAAAAAAAAATTGATAGATATAAAAATTAATATTTAGAGAATTTTGGAAGCAAAAAATAAAAAATATTTCAATCTCAATTTTTTTTATTTCAATTTTCTTTTATTTCGATTTTATTTTCAATTTCAAAATACTTCAATCTCATTTTAAAATCAATTATTTAGAATTTATAAAATTATAAAAGAATTGATTATAGAATAAGGAAAGAAAATCAAAAAAATATTTGATGATCTTCTTCGTTTTTAATGAAACATTAATATCATAGTGTATCATTAGTTCAACTTTATCGCTCATTTGATGATAGTACATCATCATCAATGGATTTTGTTATCAAATGATAAAGAATATTGTAGCAAGTGGTGATCATAACCCACGATAACAATGACAATGATGACAATGTTAATAATTAATGATGACAAGAATAATGAATAAATGAATTGACTTAAAAAAAGAAAAAAATTGGAGAAGATTAGCAATGAATGATGAACTTTGTAATGCTGTAATATTGCAACAGTAATGATAATGATTATAGTGATAAGAATAATGATTAAGTTGGTATAAAAGACGATAAAAAGTTGGAGAGAGGGAGAGAGGTGAGAGAGAGAGAGAAAGAAGGAGGGAGATAGGTGATATATGTATATGACAAATACTAAACTATTTAAAGTAAATAATATCAGGCATATAATAAATTGAAAATATTATCTATATAATGAATAACTGAAAAAAGTACACGTACAAGCCCATGATTAAAATATGATAAGATAATATGATAAGATTTGAAAAGTTGGCGATAAAAACTTTTAAAGTTTGAAATCACCAAAATTTTTGATTAACTGATAAGATAAATCATTAGTATTTTCACTTTGAAACAATCAGAAATTAATTACTTATCTCAATGGTACTATAATTTGCATTTTTGATATTACATTTTTGTTTCCTCTTTTTCACTTCCTTCCTATCTTTGTTTTACTTCTTACAAACTTTTTTATGACAAAACAATTTTTAAATGTTGAATTTCATGTTGAAAATTTTAATTAGTGAATTTTTATTATTTCTGTTTGGAATATTCAATGGAGTAAAAAAAGAAGCATTTACCAAAAATTAAGCTAATTTTAAAATTTAAAGCTAGTCTTTTTTCCGCTATGAGCATTATGATAAACAGAATGCAAAATGATATGCTTTATCATAGCTTATCAAAGTAACACTAAGGATGGTAAAGCTAATATAGTTACAATTATGACATTTTTTGCAAATTATTAAAAATTTTATAAACTAAAATTAAAATTCATTTTATCAAAATCTAACATTCATTGAAGTAATGAAGCAAAATTGTGAAAAAATTACACAGCAAACAGGAATGAAAAGAGAAACGGTTGAAATTGATAATCAAACATTCAAAAACTTCAAATTCATTTCAAATAATCAATTCAATTTCCATTTTCATTTTGACAGGTAACAAACGGTTCAAACAGAACAATTTCATGAAACAAATGTATGAAAAAACGATGAAATAAAGTGATTAAAAAAAAGAAAAAAAACGATGGTTTTTGACGGAAGTCAATAAGTTAATGAATATTTTGATTATGTTAGTTGTTGAAACCACAAAATTGAAACAGAAAAAAGCACATTTCCGGTATCATTCCGGATTTGCAACGCATTTTTTCCTACCAATAATTTGTTGTTAACTGATATTTGACAGACAGTATAGAATAATT